TGATGAGCTGAGAAGGCGTTACTTTTGGGAAACTCAAGTCCCAGAGTCTCGTGGTATTCTGGTATGTTTTTTTTTTCATTCCAGGAATAGCTTGCTCTCACTTTCTCAATTCGTGTAATTATCAGCTTAGTTGGAAACAGTTCAAATTTATTCAGGGAAATGATTTGAAAGGTTTCCTGTCAAACTGTTCAAGATTGGAGAGAAGTGCTGAATTGGATTGGTTAACTGTTTTGAAACAGACAACTGAGAGCTTTAATGTTAAAATAAATTGGAATAAAGGACCAAGAGGACAGATTATATCCCTTTATGGTTACATATTGGCAGTTTTAAAGCCCATTGTCACAACAGGCCAGACATGCTCTCACTGTGACCCAATTATTCATATATATCCCTTGTCATTCGAAACATCCTCAATAAGACAAGACACCGAACAGAACAACCCCTCTCTGCCCGACTCCCTCTTAAATGTCTGAATTAAAATGAGCCTTTTTGGAAAAGGAGAAAAAAACCAGCAAAAAGCCAATTTGAGAAGAGCTAATAAGAACGCTGATCAATCTCTGGAAGGAAGCTCCTTAGGAAAGGAATTGATTGCAGACCTTGGTGTAAATTAGTCAAACTAAATTGGAGCAGCATGGCAGAAAGAAAAATACAATTTAAAATTCAGAGGCAGGAATCATAAACCAGGCAGATTTAGCCTGAGCATTCTGTGTGTTTATGTTGTGTGGAGGATGGGAGACTGGCGTGGTGTGTTTCTGTAAATATTTTCTTTGAAACCAGACAGCACACACACAGGCCATCACTGCTAATAAATAAACTGAACTGTGAAAGGTTCAATGTATGTGATAACAAAGGCCAAAGTCAACAGGCCATAAAACCCTTTAGCTCTTTAACTCGTAAAACTCAGCCACTTTCTTAAGGCCTCTCTGCCCTGGTTTCCTAGTTCCCAGGTTCATGCACCTCATGGTGTTATAATGCTTCCTTGCAGTTAGAGGACGGGGCAAGACTGGACATTTTCACACACATTGGAGTAAAAACCTGAGAGAACAGCCGATGAGGGGGGAGGGCATTCCCACTTGGCATTCTGGCATTTCCATGAAGCGAAAACAGGTGTGGCCACCATCAACGATGACATTTCATCTGTTCAGTGTGACATTTGTGTAGCTGGGCAAGGGAGCAAACCTTTCAGGCCACTTCATCCAGAGCACAGACTGAATTTTCTTGTATCCCTAAACTATAAAATATGTATCCAGAAAAGAGAAATACAGTATATTCTCCTCTCTTTTACTGAACACCGCATTTTGTCACGATCGCTACTCCTCCTCGTTCTGTCCCATTCCCCACACCTGTTCCTTATTCCAGCCCCTCTTCAGTTCCACCTTAAAAGCCAGACGCAGACGTCACTCGAGGCTCTTCATTGAATCCCATTTCGTGAGAGCCCGGGTCCTTCTGCGTCTGGCTCCTTTATGATTTTAACCTTCTGTTCCTGATCCCCTCCTGCCAGTTCCGACCCGGTTCCCGTGTTTTATCCCCCGGATGGATCGCTTGGCCATGGACTTTAGCTGCTGTCTTGGATTCCCCGTTTGGACTTCTACATGGATTGTTCACCCCGGAATCACTCCCCCTGGACACCTGCACCCGTTGGACACGCCCCCTGTCTCCATACCCTCTCCTGCATGACTTTTTTCCTAGTGTTCCCTCACAATTCTGGATTGTGTCGTCTGCATAGGGGCCGGAAAGAACTGTTCATGACACATTTACTTTAATTTCAAACAACCCCAAGGTTTAGTGACCGCTGCAACATACAAGTATAGGTGACTTGTTATGCAATGTTGCATTCAGAATTCTGAACTAAGGATTCAGAATCCATACGAAGCTATATTTTAAGGTCTTGTGAGACTATGTGGTACATCATGTTTTCACACACGTCTGGTTGACAGCATGTGAACAGGCTGTGTTTCTCTCCCATGGTGACAGCCTTTAACTGCCATTTACATTAACACCTGTTTTATCCTAATAAAAAAACAATGAAGTAGATCCCCAGAGTGGTATTTTAATATTCCTAGTCAGGCACTTTAAAGTATTAGTTATCTGTTCTTCCAAAACAAAAATGCAGCAAACCTAGCATGGCAGATAATCCCTTATAAATTTGTCTTTTAGTAATCCTATTGTATATCTCCTTCCCTGTACATCTCTGATTCTCTTTCTCTCCCTCTTTCACTATATGCTCTTTTATGCTCCTCTTAGGCTAAAAGGCGCGTACCTCCAGATTCAGAGACAGTTTCTTTCCGGAAGATATCAGATTACTGAATTCTGCCCCTGCCACTGTCTCACACTGATGTCCCCTCCCCCCCCCTCCTCTCAGTCTCTTTCTTTCCACTTTCCCCATTCCTCTTTCCCACTCTCTCTGTGTCTCTCTCGCTTCCTCTCACCCTTCTCGCCCTCTCTCTCTGACAAGTGTGCTAGTTGAACCCAGCAGGTATCTCTGCTCAGATGTCCCTCTGGGCTCCCCCTGCCCAGTGAGAGCACCTACTGTACCTTTGCTGACGAACACGCAGTCCCTGCTGGCAGACCAGAGTCCCTGAGACACCGTCATGAGAAAGCAGCTGGAAAAAGAGATGAGGGCTTTAAAATTAATATATGCAGGAATTTGGAAAGAGGGATTACAATACAATAAGCAATGTAAGCTCAACAAAGTCAACTAAATAAATACAGACACACACACAAAAAAAGCGTCCATCAGAGAGCGCGGCTGTAACTGTAGTCTCATTCTGGCTGAAGTTCTGTGTCTCTGGGCTTCACCCTGTGTTCTCAAGCCTCACATACAGCATTGATTTTTCCTTGAAAAGGAAGCATCTTGTTTTCCACCTCACTGCTTGCTCTTTAAACATAATTGGAAAAGCATCCAGCACATCACCATGTTTATTTTATTAGATAATGGCTGGTGTACTCGTTTATATCTATTGCATTCTAATGTTTGGGTTCATCTCATACCTCTGGGACAGCTTTTGGAGCCCTTTTCCCTGCCCCAAAAATCCCTGAGGTGTTTTCCTCAAGTACCCATCACCTTCTCATCATAATAAGGCTCATTATGAGGCTCAAACACAGCCCTTTGAAACCATCAAGTCTTCCCTGAAATGGCTTAACCTTGCTGGTGCAAGATCATCACTGTTCATAAAGATGCTCTGGATTGAAAAAGAAAACACTAAAGTGTGTTGTTTTATTTCCTAGACCGAGGGCAAAGCTTGGTTGAATGCTTGCTTGTAGGTGCAGGGACTTTTCTCACAGTGCTTTCATCCACCTTTCAAGAACATCCAGGAATGTTACGAACCCACTTGCTGGAAGAAAGGCAGCAGAATAGCCATGCACACAGATAGACATGGTGTGGTGATTAGCTAAGGAGCCAGTCAGCAAGCAGCCTGCTCTAGTCCCAGTAACACAGATGTCTGGGCTTCCCAGTGTGCTGCCTGTGGGTTCCCCAACTCACCTGCCTTTTGTGCCGCACGTGGGTTCTTTACATTCCTGGATCGCACCAGGAGCAACACCTCAGTAGCACGTTATCGCAGAACACGTCAGCGAAGCACAAGTTCTGTTCAGTTTATGTGTCATATACACAAGTTTAACGAAATGCTTATTTGCATGTATGCTCTGATACAAAGACATGAAGGAATCACCAAAAGATAAACACAGAAAAGCAGCAGCAACAACAGCAAAGTTAAATAACATACAGCTTAAATACAGGTCAGCACGAGCGGGGTGGGGGGGAAACATCAGTGTGAGACAGTGGCAGGGCAGGAATTCAGTAATCTGATATCTTCTGGAAAGAAACTGTCTCTGAATCTGGAGGTACGCGCCTTTGAGCCTTATAGGTGCATAAAAGGTGCAAGCCTCCAACTGTCAACTTTGTTGTTGCTGCTGTTCCTCTCAAGAGCTGCTAGAACAGTATTCCAGGTGCACCGAGTTCCAGGTGGTCAAATTCTGCAGCAGCCGGGGCAGAGAGACAGATTGATGATGACACAACCTGCTGTCGTGCCAGGGCCAGCATTCTTTTTTTTTAGGATGATAATAGCCTGGAGTCCGAGCCAGAACTTAGTCCGATTTTGTTTTTTGTCCAGTTAAAATGAAGTTACCATGTATGTTTCTAAAACAAAGTTATTCGAGGTGAAATAGCGCCTTGTCACAGAAGAGCAGCATGACTAGATGACTTCAGAGGATTTTTCAAACAGGAGAGCTGCCCTGTTGTGACACATCAACCTTTTTGTCTTTTTATTTCGGTTTGCAACTCTGACCTCAAGAGCAATCAGACTTTGTGTGATGCTTGTGGAAAGACATTCTCTTTTATTATTTCTTGAACATGCTGTTTTTAGTGTTTGGAATTGATCCATAATTATAAAACACATGCTGTGCAGTCAAAGCCCTGAACTCCACTTTGTTCGTTGCTCTTTCTGTTTTGATTGTTTTGTAAGGGAATCGGCTTTCCTTGCCCATACATGACAAAAGATGTACTATGAGCAAGTACAGTATATGAAAATGCCTGTGTACTGTGCTGTCCTCTCACCTTCTGTTGTCAAGGAAACCTCATGATGTGTGAGTACTGTTGCCTATTTGTGTTCACTCAACAGTCTGCTCAAGGTTTTTTTTTAACCATGGCCCTAGAAGACCTTGTGTCTGCTAAGTTTTATTCCAGTGGAGTTCTCCATAAATTAAATTAAACAAAAAGTCCGCCTAATAATTGGTTTGCTCAGACTTTTTATTGTTTTTCAATTCTTTATCAGCTTAAAGGTTTCACGGCAGCTATAAAATGGTACAAGCCACTTGAAAAGTGTAACTGATTGATTGAGCAAATTATAAGTTCAGGGAAGGCTTGGGAAGAAGGAAGAGAGAACTCGTTTGAGACGACAAATCCACAAGCAAAGGGGAACTTCAGGGTCAGGTCTGAGAAATCACAGTCTGTGTAATTCATGCATTTGTCAGTAACACAGAGCCTCCTGGTCTCTTGGCAGGTATGTGGCCATAATTCACCCTCTACAGCAGCGGCTCTCATCCACGGAGACCAAGATCATCATGGCAGTGATCTGGTTCCTGGCTCTGTGCCTGGCCTTCCCACAGTATTACTACTCCAACACCACCGAGCTGCCCGGCCGCATCGTCTGCTATGTTGACTGGCCCAAATATGTCATCTGGAATTTCAGGAGGACGTAAGTCCAGACAGCACTCACTCTGGCTACAATACATTCCGAGTTTAGTAAAGTGATAGTCTTCGTAAATCACATTTGTTGTTTTTTTGTTGAAACTATGACAACATAAAGTGCCTGGCACTTGCACTTTATTTTGTGGCTTCAAAGCTTGCAATCATGACACTTTGAAGTAGCAAATGATATTCAGTTAATAGATAGGGGTTATTAGGAGGCCATGATTGGTAAAGGCCAGGGGGAAATTTGGCCAGGACACTGGAGTTACACCCCTACTCTTTTCGATAAATGCCCTGGGATTTTTAATAACCTTGGTTTTACATCTCATCTCAAGGACGGCACCTTTTTACAGTATAGTGTCCCCATCAGTACTGGTCCCCCTACTGGTCCCACTAACACCATTTCCATCAACAGCCTTAGCTTTCCCAGGAGGTCTCCCATCCAGGTATTGACCAGGCTCACACCTGCTCAGCTTCAGTTGCAGTGAGTTTGCAGGGTGATGTGTTTTAATAAGCATATTGTTTAATCCAGAGGGCCCTTAGAAGCTCTCTCATAAAACCAGCTGGTTTTCTTTTATGAAAAACTAAGAAAACTAACTCTGCTAATCAAGCCGTTTGTTTTACTCATGTCTTGCTGTAACAAGACAGGATATTAACGTCTGATGTTATCTCTTTTGTTATTATTAAAATCTGTACAAAAACCTTTCTCATACAAAAAACATTTTAACTCATACGTTCCAGCATGGTTATCCTGCTACTGCTGTATGTAAATGTAAGCGTCTTTTTACCATAAAAACTTCCAGCACCCAGGATTATTAGTACTAGGCGTGTCAAAGCAAACAATTACACAGACATGGGCAATTGTTCTACAATACTGCTGCAGTTATTAAGGTTTCACTGATCAAACACTGCTATGGTATACAGAACTGCCCATTGCGAAGTTTGCTTCTAAGCCTCTGCAGTAGCGCAGGCACTCTCCTGTGTGCCCTTGGGAGAAGATGCCCACTGGTCATTGTGGAAAACTACATTAACATTCCTTTGCATTCACATTGCTCACTGGCTTCTTCACTGTGACTCTCCAGGTCTGTTAGGCATCTCCACACTAAAGACGTTTGAAATTATAGTGTCAAACACAGGCCAGTGCCTTTTCGAATACAATTCATAGCAGCTATCCCAGACGGAGAGCATGATAAAGCACAGAGCAATACAATCAAAATATAGTGCATAATAGTGAGGCCTCTGTCAGAAAAATCGACCAAAAGCTCCAGTCAACTGGCTGCAGACCCTGGTATTTATTATAGTAATAAGGCCTGATAAAGGCCACTGGCACCGAGGTTAGTCGGTTATTAACAGTCTGCAGATATACCTCCCCCGGGTGAGTGGAGGAGGGGGTGGTTGTAGGGTGGCAGGCTAATCCTGAGAATGAAGCTGTTAGCCAGTCTAACGTGGAGCTGTAGACAAAGGAACACAGCAAGGCTAATATCCCCTTTGCAGTCCAAACCTAGATTAAAAAGGCAATATGTCACAGTGTTTTAATATAAGGCTTCTCCCTGCTGTCACAGCTCTAAAACACTGAGTAATAATGTGATTAATGTGGCTCCATGATTGAATGAGTCCTTTTCAGAAAGAGCTTAATCATGTGTTCTGGAAGACCTGCTATATTTTGCAGGTTAATAGACTTTTTAAATGCAAAAAAAATCTTTGTTTTCATTTTTTCCCATATTCAGCTCATTCTTCAAATGAAGTTTTCTTAATTGCTTCATGCTGGCTGTTATACTGCAGCTCTACGTGCTCTCTGAATCACTTACCAAACCACCCCTGCTCTTTTCATAGCTTTTCCAATGGGTGCCTTGTCGGCAGTCAAGCTGTGAATATTCAGAAATATGCACATAAACAATCAAAGTGTGTTCTTAGCATCTGCCCTCTTTGACTATTTTAGTATCTGTATTTGATAGTTTCAGTTTTGTGATTGAAGGTAGAGATGTAGCGTGCCAGTGAAGGCTGCAGGCTCAGTTCGCAGTGTATACAATTTGTACAACTTAATCCCTTTGTAATAATCGGAATGAAATGACTATACTGTACAGATGCAAAGAAAAGTCAGTCACAGTTGTAATCCCAAAGTAGAGCCATTCCAAAGGTCTGGAGGTCAATCAGTGGGTTTTCCATTCCCTTTTACTACAAATATTCTTGTTCATCCTGCATGCCTGAAAACACAACTGCAATTTGGTACAAACAGCACAGAGAAAAGATTTTCTGCTGCGAAGTGAAAACACTGACCTGTGTCCTCAAGACACCTTTGGAACAACGGGGACCTTTGTTAAGAGACTAGATACTGTCTTGATTCAAAATTAGGTTCCGTTTGAACTTATTCTATAGTTTGCCAGCTGTGAAACATACTTTCAAACATTTCTTGAAAAAATCCACACAGGCTGGATATAAAACAAAACAAAACCTTTAAAATAACTCTTAATGGCTTAACTAGACTAAACAAAGAGTAGAAAGGTTTACAGGTTTTGACAAAGGAAGGAAGTACTGGTGGATTTTTACTGATGTTTCACTTCTTTAGTTTGATCCAGCACTAAGGAATATTCCATGTTTTCTAATTGCAAATAAACTCCAGGGCTTTTTTTCCTAAACCTGCATTTAAATGCAAAAATAATGACAATAAATCCTTCTGTATCTATGTTTCTTGCAAAAAAAATGAAAATCAGAAGCTTTGCCCCAGAGCAAGAGCCTTTTAAAGTTGCCACGTTTGTTGTGAAACTGCCGGCAGGAGTCACCCCTCACCTACAGACGCATAGTCTTTGTCCTTGGTGGGATTAGCCTATTGGCCACGTGGCTGTGTATTAATAGACCTACTGTATTGCAACTCCTGCTAGCTGCAGATTCCCATCATTCACCCCTGCTAATGGAACATTCATCTGTTCCTCTCAGAAGCATACAATCTGCTGGGAGGCTGTTATGCTAGTCTATCGTTTTCCGCCTGTTAACATGAACCTGACTACCCTGGTGCGAGAAAGCAGAGAGTGGCTTACAGATCTAGTTACCGTAGCTTGTCTTTTCCAAATCCTCTTCTGGCTTCCCCTTTGCCAGTTTTAAAGTATCTAAGTCCTATTGATTTAGTTGTGCAGCATACCACTATAGGGAATTTCCTTAATTACCCAAAGCCATTTAGTACAAGAACACCTAAGCCTTCTGCCTTTAGAAAATCTATGGAATCTATAAATCAGTGGAACAGTTCAGTTTGTATAGAACAAGGCTGTAAACTAATTGTTCCTGGTTCTCGTGATTGTGGAAACCCCTTTTTACAGGGGTAAATGACCTGCTTTCCCTACATTTCTTTCATATTTTTGGGATTACCTTCAAATCCAAAAAATACAAAGGGAGTAAAGGCTCACAAAAGTCCCTTGCAATCAAAAATCTTATCTTTAATAAAATTCAATAAAGCATGCAATAAAAAGATTTTCTTTCTTAGGTTTTTTTTTGTAACACGAATTTCACTGAAAGAAACACAAAAACGTCTACCTTGATATGTGCCCAGAAATCAGAGTCTAGATTTGACAGTGTGAAACAAAATTCAGTAACATTATCTCGAAGTGTTCTTTTCTGGGGAACCATTCAAGTAATTACTTTATGCAAAATCTTTTCAAATCTTAATTAATCCTAACTGCATTCCTAAATGTTACTTAATTGCAGGAAACTTTGGTATTTTTAACAGGGAAGGTTTTCTTATGGATGGCTCATTTAGCTCCAGAGTTTTCCAAAATGTGTCTATCGCATTTATTAGGATGTACCCAAGCTACTGAATTTCTGCTAAACATTGTGGTGATCTTACACAAGGGCCTGATACCCACAAGGCTTAAATGAGATAACCAGCAATTCTTTTTAGAATACTATCAATTTCAGATCTGACCTAAAAGCTTGCTCTTTTCATACACCCAAGGCAACAAACAACAGACTTACATATCTAACTCCCAGATCTGTGCTCTCTTTTGCATTCTCTGTGAATAGAAAATATCTGAAAATTAATGCAGAACAGGCAACCTCACTTCCCTGAATACACCTGCATAGCACCATGCCTGTCTTTTGCAATTATCTCCAAGATGCTTTAATTAGCACCGCTGTTACTCGTGTTGTAAATAAATTGAGCTTCAAAGGCTCCCCTGGTAACTGTTCGGAATCTTGTTCTTTGTAATGAAGCCTTTCTTCCCTATTTATTTTCGGTAACATGTGAAACAGTCTTTTCTTGGCAGCAGTTAAAAAAAATGTATTTCATGGGCTGTGCAAGGTGCCACATATTTATATGCGATGTCCTGGAGATCGTGGATTTATCACTAAAATTCCAAACCTCTCCACACTAGGTTGCTTTAAATAATCAATTTGCTTATTAGGTCTTGGAGGATTTTGTAAACATTATCCTTTTAAGAAGGCTACTAATCCGTCAGACATGAGACGGAGGAAAAGGATCTGAAACTTACTGCTTTCCATTTGTTTTTATTTATAACGGGAGTTTCTCAGAACAGTAATTGTTTCTCTCTCTTTGAGGAGGTACTTTACTGGTGAGTGCACAAAAATGCTTGCATGCATCTCTTGGTGTGCACATACCAATGGGCACATGTGCACACACATACTGTACATGCATCATGTTTCAACTAATGGGAGTGTGCTTACAAGCATCTCTATATGGGATCTGCGTGTGAGGGGAGTTGCAGTTTTTTGACTCGAGCCTCCTCTCATCTCTTTCCTGAAGGTACTACATCTGTGTGGCCATCCTGATCTACTTTCTGCCCCTTCTGGTGATGGGGTGTGCCTACCTGGTGGTAGGGCTCACCCTGTGGGCAAGCGAGATTCCTGGTGACTCCTCCGACCGCTACAGCGAGCAGCTGACAGCAAAGCGCAAGGTGACACCATCCATCCACACGATTAAACAAATCCCCAGCCGACACTGAATTGGCATTCAACAGCCTCTCCCTGGTGCTGCTCCCTGCTCAAAGATGGTTGTGTCCCTTCGTTTACTGTGGGGGCAGAAGTTCTCTTGTCTGCTACCTCTGGAAAGCCCATCTATAGCTGACACCACCCTTGGCTTATTTTATCCTGATCAGAACTATGCAAGAGAAATTGTCACACACTAATGTCTTAATCTATGTGATTTGAGACATAGCCTGTGTCATATTAATTTCTTTTATATCTTTTATCTGTTATGGGCCTTTGCATGTCTTTATAGGCTGATTCCTTGTACTTAGTATTAGTATTGGTGTTCAATTGTCTGTGCCTCTTCTTTGATTCTCGGCTCTGCCATGCTTTTGTAATGCAGGTGGTGAAGATGATGATTGTGGTAGTGTGCACCTTCGCCATCTGCTGGCTGCCCTTTCACCTCTACTTCCTGCTGGATGAGTTTATCCCCCACCTGTCTGAGGAGCGTTTCATCCAGCAGGTGTATCTGACTATCATGTGGCTGGCCATGAGTTCCACCATGTACAACCCCATCATCTACTGCTGCCTGAATGAGAGGTATGGCCACACCACCTTGCAAGTTTCCAGTCACTTACGCAGCAAGGCAGTACTATGGCCAGCAGCCATATCACCCTGCAACTCACAACTGGCAACCCACTGAAGCTAAGCAGGTGTGAGCCTGGTCAGTACCTGGATGGGAGACCTCCTGGGAAAAACTAAGGTTGCTGCTGGAAGAGGTGTTAGTGGGGCCAGCAGGGGGCGCTCACCCTGCGGTCCATGTGGGTCCTAATGCCCCAGTATAGTGACGGGGACACTATACTGTAAACAGGCGCCGTCCTTCGGATGAGACGTAAAACCGAGGTCCTGACTCTCTGTGGTCATTAAAAATCCCAGGGCGTTTCTCGAAAAGAGTAGGGGTGTAACCCCGGTGTCCTGGCCAAATTTCCAATTGGCCCTTATCAATCATGGCCTCCTAATACTCCCCCTCTATGAATTGGCTACATTACTCTGCTCTCCTCCCCACTGATAGCTGATGTGTGGTGAGCGTTCTGGCGCACTATGGCTGCCGTCGCATCATCCAGGTGGATGCTGCACATTGGTGGTGGTGGAGGGGAGTCCCCATTACCTGTAAAGCGCTTTGAGTGGAGTGTCCAGAAAAGCGCTATATAAGTGTAAGCAATTATTATTATTATTATTACTAATGGAGCTCAAGACACTGTCACTTTCTCAGTAAAGAATGGTTTTACGTATGCTCAAAAAGGTGGACTGAGAATTTTCATCTCCTCTAGTGTTGTGATTGGCCAAAGAACTAAAAAATATTCAAAATCAAAATTAATTGTGACTGCTACTCTTACTATTCTCCCATTCTAATCTGGAAGTGTGTACATTTTAAGCTGTTTGTGGTGTCTGACAATACATAGTCCAGTAACAAGGCCAGAGCGGGGATATGTGCAAATGGCATCGTATTAGAACACATCAGTGAATTAACACTGGACTCCATTAGGTTCTGAGTTTAAATTCCTCTTACTGTTTCAAAAGTATACAGGAACTTTCTGATCCAGCTTCAGGAGTAACTCAGGGACCACAGGAACTAAAGGTGCTTGTTGTGTTGTTTAGCAGTAAATGAACAAAGTGACACAGTGTGTAGTTGTGCTCTGTAGCATATTGTTGCAAAGGACTACATAGCAAGTAAATCAATAAATAAATGATTGATTGATTAGCATTAGTGCCCACACAGACCACAGGGTGAGCACCCCCTGCTGGCCCCACTCACACCTCTTCCAGCAGCAACCTTATTTTTTCCCATGAGGTCTCCCATCCAGGTACTGGCCAGGCTCACACCTGCTGAGCTTCAGTGGGTTGTCAGAAGTGAGTTGCAGGGTCACATGGCCGCTGGTTTAGAGAAACGTCCGCCTCTGACTCCCTCTGGGTCCTGTGCTTCCAGGTTCCGCGCGGGGTTCAAGCAGGCGTTCCGCTGGTGCCCCTGTGTGAAGGCCGCTGACTATGAGGGCCTGGAGCTGAAGTCGAAACGGTACCTCCACACGCAGAATAGCATGTACAAGGCGAGCCGCATGGAGACCACGGTGTCCACCGTCATCAATGCCATCGATGAGGACCCTGAGGAGGGCCTGCTGGTCAAGCGCCTGTCTCTGGACCTTACCTCCAACGGTTCCTCTCGGAGCATCTCCAAGACCGTGTCGGAGACATCCAGCTTCTACTCCAGCACCAACATGTCCTAGACACACCCACCAAGATCCCATCTCGTGCCTGTCCCTCATTCTGGAGCAACTCTTCACAAGCTGCATTTGCAAAGCATTCGCAAAGCACATAGAACTGCTCAATTCCAGAGAGCTAGTCTTGTCTCCAAATCCATGCCATTCTGGGGAGCCTTAATTTTTCCAGGACTTGTCCAGAGCTGCATCAACACTACTTATCACTGTTCTCTGTATGAAGAGTTGCCATTTACTCATGAAAAGGGAATCCAGTTTTTTCTTCTGAAAAGTATCATGGCCTTCCAAGTTTCCTCCTGCCCCTACTTATTTAGACAACGTATACAAGCTATGAACTGCAATATTCAGCCTAGCTTGTCCCATCCCAGTCCCATATCAACACAAAGACTTGAAGTTTCCATACACAAGAGCTTTACTAGCATACAATTAGAGGAATACCACAGCAATGTTAAGATCATACTTGTGTTTCATTTAAAGAGGAACATGCTAGAGAAAGCATCTCCATAACAGAGATGGATGACCACTACAATGAGGTTTATGAGACAAAACATTCATATGGATTTGTAAATATTGTGCAACTCTATATATAAGACCTTGCATGCCTGCTTTCTCCTTGGTTTTACAAATATTAGGTTGTTTAATCTGCCTTATGCTGAATTCAAATATATGCCAAGTCCAGAGAACAACAGTTCCAGCTCAGCGTTTCAGATCCCAATATTTGTTTGCCACACAAAACCAAACAACTACTGACAACAAAACAAAACCACCAAAACAAGAGGTGGAGGGCAGAGGTGGTGGGGGGAGGGAAAGTGAATGGGCCCACCTGTTGTGAAAACTATTTTGGGAAATGTATGAGGCGCTGTGGCTGGGGATTACACATGCTACTGACATTTGGATGACACAGAAGAGAGAGAAAGGCAATAACAAAACAGCAAAGTACAGCTCCTGCCCACTTTGGATATAATAAGACAGGCACTTCTTATTATATCATTATAATATCTTAAATATCATTATTTTTTCAAGAATCTCAAGAGAACATGCAGAAAATAAAATTGCAAGACAATAATGGGACCAAAAGCTGGCTTTCCATATATTTCCCTGTTCTCCTGCAGCCCTGGCCTTTGCATTCCAAGTCAGAGAACTGCAATTTGATTCCTATTTCTTTGAAGCTCTGCAAAATTTAACAAATTGTACCCCCACCATTAACATACATTGTCACCATCATATACATATATACTGTGTCTCTGCCCTGCGATAGACAGGTATCCTGTCCGTGGTGTATCCTGCCTTGTGCCTGTTGCTTGGATAGGCTCCGGCTTCCCCCACAAGACTGTACTGGATAAGCAGATTAGGAAATGGATGGATGACTTTCCTACCTTCTTCTCAGAAGGAGCCCACTGATGACAAAATAAGGAATTAAAAATCCACTTGCCTGTGAGCATTTAAATTTCATATCTGAGACGGTTTCCTTTTCAATTAATATTGCATTTGTTAACTGTTAACTTAATTGCCAGCATTGATATATTGAGTCAGTAAAATGTCAGCGAGCTCTGAAGATTGAGACGTAAGTAATTAAGAACAGATACTGTATGAAAAGATATTACTAGTGTCAGTTTTGGTGAAACCTCACTCTTCAGTAAGGGACTTCTTTTGTGCCAGATTTAATTAAAAGCATGCCACATAAGTAAGCTGGTCACTGAAAGGCTAGACTATGAGGTAATAATATATCATGATGAATTCATTTACAGACCTCTATTTTGAGCATTAAAAACATCACTGTGGAGCTCACGGTAACGGAGAGTGAAAATGAGAATCATCAACTTTTATGGTAAATAGTAATTTACTAAAAAAAAGATAGATTTGCAAAAAAGAGTCATTAAACTGATAAGCTGAAAAGCAAAAATCTGAGTTTTTAAAAAGAATACTTTCACACATGTTCAGAGCTTGAAATATCCCCACACTATCACACTAAACCAGAGACTCATGGCCTTTGGCTCATCTGCTCCCCACTGTTGCAAGACTTTGATCTCAGCACTATTTTGAACTGCATTCAAATTTGTTAATTGAACCCAATTGGTAACAATTAGTCTCCACTGTTCTTGCAGGAGAACCCCCACTAACAGAGCAGAAAACAAAGTAAAGCCTTAGTCAACTGAATCCACACAATCTCAAGAAAATCAAATCCCATTGAAGAAGGAAGCATTTATTTTTCATTGAATCCTAACTTTCTACAATTAGTATAACAAGACCCCAGTTCATTTCCACTGCATGCCTTGCTAAAGTGTCTCTGTTTTTCAATCTCTCCACGAAAATTGCAGTTAGAGAGACCATATTCACTGCTTCAGCAACAGCGGGGGAAAAAGCATGCACTCTTTAAATGCTCTGTCAATCTTGGAATGCTTCATCTGCAGCCCTCTGCTCATTTTGTAATGAATGCAGCACCTTCACCTGTTAAATTGAACTAAGTAGAGCAGGGACATCCTGACTGCCTGCCCCCCTCTCAGTGAATTTGCGTGGAGATGAACAGATGAGTCCCTTGACTTATATTGTTGAAGAAAAAAAACACATAATTTTAAGTGTCAAAAGAAAAGTAAGCTCAGGAGGAATAAGAAAAAGCAAGACAATTTCAACCAGTTGTTCTAAATCTTTACCGATGTCAGAGCTGTATTCTGTATATCTCACGCAAACAACTCTTTTCACATTTTGTACCATGTATCCCTTCTGCACTCCATGTCCACTTCTGCAGGTCCCCCCAGGTCATTCCTCATCTGCATTGCAGTCTGAGTCTCCTTGTTCTATGGCCAGGGGGCTGGCCTTCAGCCCAGCAGGTCAAACCAGAATACAGTATATTATACTTCAAACACCAAACACAACTTCACAGAACGTCAGATTCTTTGATCCCATTATTCCTTGTGAAAAGATGTTATGGAAACCAGATGGAGGTTCATTTAAAAACCAGAACAGGAGGCTTGTCTTTACCCAGCGGGGTGTGGGAGCATGGAATAAGCTACCCAACACTGTTGCTGAAGCTGACAACATGGCTTTTTTCAGGAGATGGTTGAATATGGGCTAGATGGGCCAAGTACCCACCTCTTGCTTGTAGCCTTTCATATGTTTCTGTAGAAACCCTTTTGAACTAAAATCCAATCAAATGGACATGCCTGCATCAGCTTTGGAAAAAACTAAGAACAATGTAAAAAGTATAGTCCCATCCTCCACCACACAGAGCAATACCGCAGAGTAAAGACATGCACACTTTACATGGTTGTAGACAATTGACTGAGCTGCACATGTGTGGCTGCCTATTCTGTTTATAGACCAAGTTTCTTCTGTCTCTGCCATAAGAGTTCCAAGGACTCTCTGAGCTACAATTGCCTTTATTGTACCTGTCCTGGAGAAAGATGAAACAAGGATTCTTTTGCCTGCAAAAGTGCTGCTGCTCAGTGAATGGACTAAAGTGCTCTGTGGATCAAACAAAAATGATTCCCTAATGGAGAGAAGCAGAAACCTCTCGTTGCTTAGCTCAGGGTCCTGGTCCTGGACTGTCATAGAGTCTTCTGGCTTCATTTTTTCAATTTTTTGATAAGTTGATGGACTCCACAATGCACATTTGCTGTTGCAGCCACTTATCAATGTATAGACACATGATGACTTGGCAGGGCTGGATCTTCAGAAACATGGCTGGTGAATTAGCTGTGCGTGCTCAGCTCTGAGACTGCCTGGAGCGTGCTGGATCTGAAGAAGAAAGGATTTTAATTTACTGCCCACATCACTGGATAATTTGTCCTTATTAAAAGGCAATTCACAGTGTGAAGAAATTCTGTACAAGAATTCCTTCTCATGAGAGTGAAACCTACTTGTATGTTTTATGTCGTGTGTTTTGATTTATTTTCCTTGGGATTATCTTTTAACACAGGGGTAGGGTTTTTTTATTCTGTTTTTTTTCTGGTTCAAAAGTAACTGGAAGGTACCTTTTGATATTTCATTTAATTACTGTGGGGGAGTAAGAAAAAAAACATTTAAAAAACAATGTCATATTGCAGTATCTCTCTAGAAGGCAGATACGATGCAGCTTTGCTTAATAATGTGAAATGCGAGCAAAATAAAACACAACAAAATCCAGAAAACAAATTATTCTTTGATACATGATTTTTTGCTTGGTTAGCTTTAGTGAGTGATGAGGTGGGTGCTGTGTTGTGAAATTCTCTGATTCATTGTTAGGAAATGTTTTGTATATTTTGCTTATTCTGGTCTTTGTGAATCTACTGTATATGGGTTCAATGTTAAAATCTTTTAGCCATCGTGGTAAGTAGAGGTTTACAAAAAGATTCAGGATGGGTCTTCAGCAATTTTCGCAAAATAGATCTACAGAAGTCTTGTAAGATTTTTCCCCCCTGTAACTGCTAGCACATGCTGTCAAAGATAAACTGTCCTTCTGAATTATTTCATATCTACAGACTCAAGAAAAGCACAAGTCACAAAAATGTAATGGCTTTTTTACAGCATGTAAAGTTACCAAAAAATCAGCAAAGCCTCTGTAAATGTTCAGTAACTGCTAAGCTGTGAATCCCTTTCTAATTGCAAGAATGTCAGAGTTTTAATGAGCTCGTATTTCACTTGTCAAAGGACTGCCTGTCCTTATCCAGGTAGTCAGTCACACTGCCAGTGCCTTTGTGAGTGAAACGTAATGCCTCCTTTCCAGCTACCATGGAGAACAAATGGAAAATTTCAGTTTTGCCTTATTTTGCCACCATTGGTCACCTAAAAGAAATCTGTCTGCCCCCGGACAGGCAAGCAGTTCTGTGTTTTCGGAAGCAAAAACCTGAATGTCCAATGAAGCCAGCAGTGAATTTAATTAAAATAAAGGGGAAAAAACTAGCAAGAACAGCTGCTTTTCTGTTTTGTGTTTGGTAGCTACAACACGTTTTCACCCTGAGGTCTGGTGAGGGACAGAAACTGATGGTTCAGATTAGCCACTTTCCTGTTGCTGTGTGTGATATAACAAGCCTTGAGCTCCTACCATGTCTCTGTAGACATGTGGCTGTCAGCTTTACTAAGTTGAACAGGGATTAGGAAGGAAGAAAATAACTTATGTCAGGAGTTTTCAACAAGGGGCACGAGGCACCCTTAGGGGGCTCTGAGAGATCGTCCTGGGGTACCCCCAGAAACAGGAAGATTTTGCACCACCCCCTCACCCCACAGTGCTTTGAAAGTAGGTCTGCCTTTACATTATTTACAGGAGAACCTCTTGATACCTTTTTGGTATAATCACAAGCTTCAGTCACGATCGTTACTCCTCCTCTTAAGGGCGCTCCAGCCCTTCCTCGTTCTGTCCCATTCCCCACACCTGTTCCCTATTCCACCCCCTCTTTAGTTCCACCTTTAAAGCCAGACGCAGGCGTTTGCCCGGCGCTTCTCATTGAATCCCGTTTCCTGAGAGCCCGGGGTCCTGCTGCGTCTGGCTCCGTTATGGTTTTAGTTTCATGTTCCTGATTCCTTGTCCCACCGGTCCCGACCCGGTTCTGGTTTTTAACCTCTTTGGATGGATCCCCTGGTCTTGGACTCTGCCTCCCATTCTGGATTTCCCTTTTGGATTTATGCTTGGATTGTTTGCCCTGGACTCACTTCTCCTGGACACCTGCTCACCTCGGACACGCCCCCCTGTCTCCTGACCCACTCCTGCATGTATTTTTACCTATTGTTTCTTCACCTTCTGGATCGTGTCGTCAGCATAGGGCCCGGATAGAACTGTTCCTGACAGCTTCAGTCTTTTTCTGAACTGGGGGATGCTCTTTAGGACAGGTTTCTTAGAAAGCTGTCTGCCTGCAAGAAGAGTTTCAGTTCCATTTGAAACTTTTCCTGGAAAAAGGCACTGCTTGCTTAAAGAGACACAGGAGTGGACCCACATTGCCTATTTAACAGCAGCTACAATAACTTGCATCTCTTTAGCATTGTAAGGAGGTTAATACAATAATTATTCGATGATTCCCTATTTTAAAAAAAGGATGAAAATCGAAAAGCTCTGCCGAGAAACCATTTGAATGACAAATACCTTTGACAAAATGATGACCAATCATTATGTTCTTCAAATAATTGTAACATGCTGCCATCTTAAGCAGGGTTTGAACTTTTCATGACATACCGTGCATATATGTTCATACAAGGAGCTGCATCAATGTGCAAACACTGTGGAGTAATGAGAAGATGTTCATTCCACACTGTAAACTGGGGGAAAAAACACGACATTGCGACAATGGAGTATTCTTCACTTGTGACCTCCACAGCCCAAGTGTCAGTTTTTTTTCCTTCTTTGCAGCTTAAAAATATCCAAGTGTGTAAATTTAGATGCATACACATATATAAATCTATATTCATCTGCAGAGATGCAGCACAGGTATGAAAGAATTGCAGTTAAAAGGAGAGCAAACTTGTGGCATGGTGCCATGCATTATCAGACTAGAGAAAGTGTATAATAATATAGAAATGACTCCAAAATACAATGATATGACTAGGTGTGATGCCTGCACAGCCTCTCCCCCTCTCTGACAGGGAACAGAGCAGCTGGAACACAGTGATTAGAGTGCAAGACCTTCCCTCTCATTCCTGTATTTAATGCCCACTGGATCCAGCTTTATGAAAATGCATTTTAACGTGACATTTGTTTGTTTTTTAAACATATATTTTACCATAATTATTTTATTTATTTGAACCTACCACGTGGGTATAGATATCTCCAAACCACAGCCTAATACTGTATTTAAAGCTTGAATTCCAAAAGCAATTTTTTGCAGGCATCTCTTGGGAGCTTTAGCATATAAATGACAAAATTACCACATGTGGCTGACAACCTTCAAACCTGAATTTGCGTGTGACATTAACAGATCTTAATCTAGCCA